ACAACAGCATACAGTGCATTTTGTTAGGTTATCCTCATACACTGATAGTGTTTCAGTATTACTCACTCTCTAACATTCCCTGTCTCTCTCCCACCTCCCCATAGTTTCCCAGACAGGCTGATATTATCATGTTCTCTCTCTTTATATGCATATACTATATATGTGACAAAATGTACACAAATACAGAGAAAGTCCATTTTTAAGTGCCTGCTTTAAGAAAAACGAAAAACAAAAAAGAACGGCCTTGTAGAATGGTTAGGTAGGTTTGAATCTTACAATGGACATTCTGACTTGAGCAGTGAGATGGATATTTAAGAAAAAATTTAAAGAATACATGTCACAGGCTAGAGGCTTGCTCAAGCAGTAGAGCGCCTACCTAGCAAGCATGAAACCCTGAATTCAAACCCCAGTGCTGCTAAAAAAAAAAAAAAAAAAGAAGCCTGAGGCACGGGATACAGACCTGAACAAAGCAACTGGTCAAAGGCTTCTGCCCATCCTCCTACCTGGGATTTCATTCCTTTACCCTCCACACGCTCCAGACCTCCAGCTGCCAGGCGCTCATTATTCCATGCTGCTCTAGGCCCAACTTCGAATTTGCCCAGAACAGGGGCAGGGCTTCTAGGCAGGAGTATATAGAAGGGGAGGAGGGGGGTTGCAGGGGAAGAAGTGCAAGAGAAGATAAACCCTGTCTTTCCATCTCTTTCCATTTCTGCAGCCCCTATAATAACAACTTCTTCAAAAAAAGTTTATTTCTCTCTTATAGTTCCTGTCCTGCTTCTAACATCGGACTCTCTGCATCTCTCCTACTCATACATTTCTTCTTAGCCATTCACTGAAAGCATTTACTTTGTCGCAGCACTAGCTAGACAATGGGGGAGACAAGAATAAGCAGATTTGATCCCTGGACTTGAAGAACTCTCAGCATTAGGGAAGGGACACACTAAGCACGTGATCACATAAATAAATTAAATAAATAAATAAATAAATAAATAAATAAATAAAATTGCACACGTTCCACAAGGAGAAATAGGTAGCTCTGAAAGTTCATCAGGGGGTTATTCAGATGTCATCAAAGGCTTCCTTGAGAAAGGGATGCTGGGCTGAGTTCTGAGAAAAGGACAGGCAAAGGAAACAGCGTGTGCAAAGGCCCTGAAGGAGGTCTAACCGTGGCAAATGTGAAGATGAAAAGCTGAGAGAGTGAAGACAGGACATAACACAAAGGCTGGTGGGCAGATAGGCTGCCTAAGTTATGATAGAGCTTTGCGTTATTCTAAGAGCAGTGGGGAGCCACAGAAGGTGTTACTTCACTCTAGGGGTGAAGTAATTACAGACTGGCCTTTTAAAAGATCTGCATGGCTACAGTGTAAAGAGCAGTTTGGAAGAGCCCAGGCTAGTTAGGCAGTGAGAGATGGTGGAGCCGTAACAGGATTGGGGTGGAGATGGAGCAGACAGATTACAGAGCTGTTTAGAGTGGACAATGTTAGACTGAAAGAGGCAGAGAGAGGCAGGGAGACAGCTCAAACACCAGCATAGGGTTTACTACTCGGGAAGAAGTACTGCGGACTTCCAGCCAAAGCCAGAACCAGAACCCCACTTACAGACCCCCATCCTTGGAGTAGTTATCGGGAGGGATCTGGAGAGGAAATTTTTCCAGAGGAGTGAAAGCTTGCTAAAGGAAGTTAAAGGAGGTAAATGGTAATCAGATAAGTTGCTCAGCTCTGGATCCCCTGGCAAGGTGGCAGCTTGTCATTACCTTGAGGCTAGGTATGGTTCTTACAGTGGGTGTTGGGATGTTTCCAGTAAGCTGCCTTCCAGTAAGTTGGTGGTGAGGGGTACGAGTCTAACATGGCTTCCTTTTGTTCACCCTAACAGACAAGACTTGGTTGTGAGTTGGAGATAGGAGTGTGCGGAAGACTTGGTCAAGGATGATTCCTGGGCTTCTGCCTTGCACAATGGAAAAATGGAGAACTCAAGAGTCAGGGTTAGAAGATAAGGAGTAGATCATTACTTTTGGTGATGTAGTGTTTAGGGTGCCTTTGAAACATTCTGGAGGAAATATCAAGTAGACAATTGAATATATAAGGCCAGACCTCAGAGAATAGATGAATGTGGGGGTCTTCAGCATAGTGGTTAAGTAGTCACTGAAAATGCCCTCAAGAATGTGATGTGGGGGGACAACAGAACTGGACATTCTTTTCTCTAAAGGGTTTAAGTATAAATGGAGAAGGTAGTGGGTTAATGAAGGAAAACTTTTTCTAACTTAGAATGAAAACAAACATTGCTTGAAAGAAATAAATGTGAATTATAGAAAAGGAAGAAGTGAATTGGTTCCTGAGGGTCTACCACAGGAGACACCTGCTCCTGCTCCTGGTGGGAGTAATGGGGCTCTGGAAAACACAGATGCATTATGGGGATATTTTATAGCACTGCACAAATGGATTTTGTGTATGTTTGTTTGTTTTAGTATTACTGGGGTTTTACCTCAGGGCCTTGCACTTGATAGGCAATCTCCCCACCACTTGAGTCACTCCTCCAGCACTGCACAAATGTTCTCCATGCTTTTTCTCAAATAGGTTGTTTTCATGGACTTATCTAGACCAATTATCTACTAGGTATAACACTGTTTTGTTTTATTTTATGCGATGTAGTCTCAGTTCTCAAAAGCAACTTTTAGAACATAGTCTGTTCATAGATTAGGGATGTCTGTGGTCAGAGATTTGTTATTTGGGGGGGTCAGAAATTCATAAAGGATCCATGAAGCCTGAAGAAATGCAGAATCACAGAGCCATGAATGGTACAGCCACAGGTTAAGATGTTCCACAGAACTGAGGCTTTTATAAAGTCTATGATTGGTAATGTTTGGCTCAGTGATAGGTTACCAGTGCCTTCTCAAATAGTGGCAAGCTGCAGGAGTGCTCAGAGGTTGAGAAAGTGAAGGCAGGAGTCTAGACCATTATCCAAATGGATCCTGAGAACAAGTAGGAACAACAGCATCAGAAATACAGACTCTCAACTTCTTCCTCAGAACTAACAAATCAGAACCTGCATTTAAACAAGATCCTTTAGTGATTCTTAAACACATGAAAACTTGAGAAGCACTGGTCAAGAAGTCTGGCAATGGTAGGTAAGAGGACAACAACCAGAGGAGAAGGAAGACTGGAAATGGAAATGCAAGAGAAAGAAGATCCCAAGAGGAGGCCAAGATCAAGAAAACTGATTAACATGGGAAAAGAAGTAATACTCTTCTTTTGTTGAGAAAAATGGGAAAGAGGGATGGGAAAGGAGGAAGAGTGAGATCAGAGGCAGATAACTGAGAAAACTTCATGGAAATATTACCCATTTCTCCCCAAATAAAACTGGTGCCAACATGAACCATTGAGTAAGAGAAAGAGAAGTTTTAGGCCAGACAATACATAGTTTAGAGACTACTTTCTTTAACTTGCAGGATTCTAGTTTAAATGACATTTACTTTTTGGTTAACATTTCTTTGCATTTTTTTCCATGTAACTTGTTTAAACAGGTATACTTCCATATATAAAAATATCAAATACTTTAAGATGATTTATAGCAAGACTTTTGCATTTCTGCAAGTTGCTTGTGAGTACACTAGGCCAACATTATATATGCTGCTAATGCTGTAAAGTCAAATAAATATCTGGTTGTGAAAATATACAAAACTTAAAAGAGCAAAAAAATTTTTAAATCTTTATGTATTTTTATGTCTTCAAAGTTTGCTTAATCAATAAAATGACCTGAAAAGTTCATCTCACAGTCAGATCCATAAGTGAGTTACTTCATTGGTTTTCTGATGACTATTTATCATAAAGTATAGAATCTTCAGAATGAATGGGGGAAATAAAAAATTTGACATGCTTGCATCTTATATAAATGAAATATTTGATTTGTAAGACACAAATGAGCAAACTCCGATGGCCTGTCATGTTTTCTTAGTTTCTAATTTATTCAACCTCTGCTCAATATTGATCCTGACAAGCAGAGTGGCCCAAAGATAAATTTATTCATTCCACAGTTTAGTCAGGAACAAGCCAAAAATTATAGATTTTCCCAAGAAGATGATGACAGGCAGTCAGGGGGATGACAAATGGCTGTCTTTAGATTTAGGAAGAACAGTTGGGCCAGACATTTCCGATAAAGATTGGAGCATGCTGGTCAAATGCAGGCTCATCAGCGGTCGTCATTAATTGTGGAGAGAGCATGGCCTGCTGCCGACGTCCTTATGGAGCTGAGGCACCAGTCCTGCAGGGGAAGCAGAACTGGCTCTAAGCGATAGCATGACATGATCATTTATCAAACAGAGACTGTCCAGAAAAGTGTCTGCTTCCTTTAGTAACTTATTGAAGGGCAGGAAAGTGAAAGCATTTTATTAAAGACAGGAAGGCAATGAACAACCAGAGCATATCCAAAGGGTAATCATATTTCAGCACAGGATTAGTTTAGTCTTAAGTCAACATACACTGGAGGGAGGATGTCGAGGGTCATTTATCAAGTGAGGAATAATTAACAAAACTCCAAGCATTCTTTTTTTATCTTTATCAATTTAAACTTCTCATACTGTTATTACGGGCATCATATTCAACACTAATAAAAGTGCAATGCACAATCCCTTGCAATGCTAATGGACTCTATACTACTTCTTAATTGCCTTAACCTATAAACGTCTGTGAATTCCACTAAGAATAGGGCAACTCTCTGCAGCAAGAAGTGTTTCTGAGCTATAGATCAGGTCCATTTAAAGGTGACATGACCAAGAGGAGTTCTGTGATCCCCAACTTAGGGCTCCACTTTTTGCCTCATCTTTACCCCTTCAACTACCAATACAGACCATTTTCTTCAAAAGTTATTATGCATCTTGTAAGTACCTGGCACTGAGATAGAACTCCATGAAAAGCAGTAATTGCTTTAAAAACAACGAGCTGAAATGCTAGAAGTACTGGTAATTATGAAATAACTATGTCTTGCTTTTTCTTCTCTAATTATAGGATTTGGAGTTTTTACTGAACAAGTTGATGAAGCTATGGAAAATGGATCTAAATGGAAATCCTGTTTGCCTCAAACCAAAATACAGGGACAGACTGATACTGGTGTCCAAATCACTAGGTACACATTTTATATTAATATAATTTTCCTCCAAGAAAGGCACCTCTTTATCAGCAAGTTTTCAGAGATATAAATATGATATCTTGATCTAGAAAATGATCAACTTTAAATTTGATATTTTGGGTAAGAGCAAAAGATAAAATTGAGAATAACACATGGAAAATATTTACTGTTCAGAAATTCTTAAAGCATCTGGGGGCTAGCAGCTCATGCCTATAATCCTAACTAATCAGGAGACAGAGATCAGGAGGATCATGGTTTGAAGCCAGCCCTGGCAAATAGTTCTCCAGACCCTGTCTTGAAAAACCCCTCACAAAACACAAAAGGGGTCTGGTGGAGTGGCTTAAGGTGTAGGTCCTGAGTTCAAGCTCCAGTATCATGAAAAGGAAAGAAAAGAAAAGAAAAGAAAAAAGAGAAAGAATTAAAGCAGATGTTCCTTTAAGGGAAAAAAAAATGTGGCTGTTACCAACAAAAATGGTTAGTCATAAATGCATAGAACTTGCTGACCTTTTGCTAAACTTTCATTGGCATAAATCCTCTGATAATCCCAAGAGACTCCTTAACTCTTAGTTCTATAAATAAGATTGATCAAGATTATCACTGCTGTCTGACATTTGCCAAATGGTACCCTAAGAACATGTAGGAGTCCCTTTCATTTGAAAAGGGAGCATCATAGGGAGACCCTTTATAAAATTCTTACAAATAATAACATTCCTGAACATGCACTAAGTTGGGAGAAGGGGACCAAAACACATGGAGAGTAGTAAACAAGTTACACAGCAATCCTGTCTCTAAAGGAGCTTCATGAGAGAGTTTCCTGAATCAGAACTTCTGGGGCATGCTGAACGTGGAATAAAGTATGTATGACAAAACCACTTCAAAGCTCAGAGCAGTAGTAAACCTTGGTTGGTCATAATGCTAGTGAAGTCGTTCTTAATTAATTTTGGGGGTGGGGATAAAGACAGATCAGAAAAATGCAAGACATTTTTTCAAAATATGTATGCAAGGGCCCCATTTAGCCCACAAAAGAAGGGAAGAGAGAATACACAGGGAAAGCAGTCGTGTATGTCTTTTAAACGCCCTACAAATAATTCTGCTATGCAGTCTCTTACCCTGTCCTCTTACCCTCTCCCCTCTCTGCCCATCACACTCATTTGTATTAGTCCACTTTCCTTAGCAAGCAGAGGAAAGTACATACAAGTGATGCTTGAAGATTAACAGGGATGGGGAATCTGTAGCTCAGTGGCAGAGTGTACAGCTAGCATGCACAGGCCCTGGGTTTGATCCCTATTGCCACAAAAAGTAAAAAGAACTTTCCAGTGCTCATGAAGCCATTTCTAGAAACATTTCTCATTGTGTAAAACTGTAGGTGAGACTATAAAAGATGTGGAGATAAGAATATTGATTTCTAAATAAAGAATTATCCAGAATGTGTTTTGAATAAGTTTTCTATGAAATATTTTATTGATTAAAAAATTAACACTGTTCTTTTAAAATACGAAAATATCACTCATAATTCCACCACAACTGTTTTAACACTTTAGTATATGTCTTTCCAGTCTTTTTTTCTATGCACATATAACAAATTCTCTTTGATTTTAGCTTTTCTTTTTTTTATTTTAGCTTTTCTTATTCACATTCCTTTCTTTTTACTAAATGTAAACCGTAAACAATATAAAACTGATTCATTTTGTCTTAGTAAGGACTATGAGGAACCGTTCTCAGTTTTGCAGGTTACCCAGTGCTCACCAAATGAAAAGCCATGCATTGGGTTTACTTGACATGAATGGGAGCAAATTTCATGTTGGGAGCAACTCATTAAAATGAAAGAAATCTCCTAAAACTTTGTGTTCACTAACTGCCTTCCCTTATAAACCACTTCCACACATCATAACTTCAAATAGGACCATATGCTTAAAATGACATGGAATCAGGTTAACTGAGATACAGTCTCCTGGTCATTCCTAGCTCTGAGACCTTAACATGAGGAAGAAGGAACTGTGATAAAAGACTTGGATTTGTCATTCCTTACCTTCATAACAGATGCTTTAAAAACATGTATTGGTGATGTACATACCATCGAAAAATACATCAGCAAATTATATAACTTATTAACAAAAAATAAATCTGGAACGGCATCAATAAATCCAAGTAGTTGAGAAAACCGAGAACAAATAAATGACCTTCAATGTCAAGTTATAAGTACTAAGAAGCATAATGATAAAACATTTAGTTAATTCCTTACATTATAGTTTGGAAAGTTCTATCATTCAGTTAAGAAATGTACATAGAAAGTGAAGACAGTTATACTTGTAGAACTCATGATTCTTATATAGCAATCCTCCTCCCTTATCTGTGGTTTTGCTTGACATAGTTTCAGTTGTCAAAAACCAACATACTCAGAAAATACAGTATAATACAATAAGATATTTTGAGAGACAGACATATTTACATAATTTACAGTATATTATTATAATTATTTTATTTGGCTAATCTTGCTGCATAATTTATAAATATTTTCATAGGTATATATAGGAATAAACATGGTATATTTGAGGTTTAATATTGATTTCAGTATCTACTGGGAGGTCTTGAAATGTGTCCCCCATGGATAGTGAGGGGTCAACTGTATTCTAGTTTCACAACTTTATTTTTGTACTTATGGCATAACACAATATTATGGATCATATTTAACTGGCAGTTTTAATACTTTCAACAGTACAATTAATATTTTATCAAAGTATTTTCATGTTCCCTAAAAGAATATGATCTAAAGAAAATTTACTACATCCTTACTACATTCTGAAATCCAGTAGAAGACATTACACAGATAGTAAAAGAAAACATTTAACTTAAAAATTATACAGAGACATTGTTAGGAAAAATAGTTTCTACTAAATCAAGGCCACATAAATTGCCTTATTTATGTGATTAAAATATAATATAGATAATATAATTGTCTTATAAGAAGGGGATTGTTCAATATTTTATAGAATATCCATATATAACAAAATACTACCACCGTTTAAAGAAAGACATGGTACAATGCCCACAATATAGTATTTTTAAAGCAGCATATAAAACTATATAGCAGATTTCATTTTATATAATATACACATATATAAATACTAGAAAACAAAAATACTCTAATATTGCCTGTGAGTTTTTGGGTTTGTTTGTCATACTGGAGTTTGAACTCCATCAGACCTTGCCACTGCTTCCTAATGATTACTTCTCATTATGTGCTAAGGCAATTTTAATTTTTTTGTTATTTCCAAATATCAAATACAAAAATTACTTGTATAATTTAAGAACCTCAATTTTTAAAACTTTTTAAAAGGAACAAAATGCAAAATAGCTGAACCATAGACCTCACAGAACTAAGAGGCCAATTCCGTAGGTCATTCCTATTACATCCTCTGTCCTAAGATATAAGAAGCATTACTAATGTTGTATGTCTTTCAAAATGCCATTTTAGTTATAAAACTTGCCATTAATTTTAAATATATACTATTTTCCCCAATAATAATAATATTGTCAGTAAAAAATATGGTGTAAATGTTACTGTGTATAACAACATTTGTTTTAAAAAATACCAAAGTAATAACAATATAGTTACATTTGACCTTATAAGGAGGATCATAAACCCAAATGTCTGTAGTGGGAATCTCTGACAGTGATAGGAAAGAGGGGGATGGGTAATTATAGAGCCTTTTCATGTTTTTTTAATCATGTTTCAGTTTATAAAATTATTTTTGAAATCAGACTACTAAAAATAAATACTCGACAAAAATATAGAAGTTGTACAAGTAGAGTATTTTAAAAATAAATTTATTTCAGCCTTTATATAACTTGTTTGTATGCCTTAAGCTAGATGTATACATTTTCATTTATATATTCATTTGTATATACTGTACTTTTTTAACACATGTATTTTTCGCCAGAATTTCTTGATGGAAAAGAAATTAAAAACATGGAAAGACAATTCCTAATTAATTGGAAAGCATCCAAAGATGCTAAGAAAACCAGCAAGAAGAAGGACAGTAAAAGCAAGGATGCAAGCAACCCTTACATAAGTAAGCATGCTGTCATGTATTAACTGACCACTTCTAACATGGGATGTAGTGTAGTCTAACAATCAAGAAACAAGGGTTCTTTTGTTGTTGTTGTTAGGAGTTTTATTGTTTGTTTTGAGGGGGTGTTTTACTTTGGTTTTGGTTTTTGGGCAGTATTAGGGCTTGAACTTGGGGTCTTGCTCTAGCTATGCAAGCACTCTACCACTTGAGCCCCAGCTCCAGTCCTCTTTGCTTTAATTATTTTTCAGACAGGGTCTTACATTTTCGCCGGGGGCAGTTTCAGACTGAATCCTTCTACCTATACCTCCCATGCAGCTAGGATTACAGAAGTGTACCACCAAATGCAGCCTGTTTATTGAAATGGGGTCTCATTAACTTTTTGCTCAGGCTGGCCTTGAACTGGGATCACAGGTGTCATCCACAGCATCTGTCTTAGGTTGTTTTTTTGTTGTTGTTTATTTACTTAGTTGTCAGTAAAAATAAACACAGTCATTAGGACATTTTGCCTATTATGAAAATGGTAGCCACTGTGAACAAACAGAACCCGTGTTTGGCTCATGACTGCGTCAGCCACGTAACACACTCCCAAGAGAGGGGATGTGTGGTCTTACCCCAGCAAAAGTGTAAGTGTCAGGGCTGGAGGCAGGGCTCGGGTGGTAGAGCATCAGCCTAGCAAGCAGGAACCCCCAAGTTCAAATACCAGCATCACCAAAACAAAACAAAACAACAACAAAACCAAATCCTTCACTTCCTAATTAAGTTTATTCCTGAGTATTCTTTTTGGTGCTATTGTAAATAGGGTATTTTCCTAATTTCCTTTTCAGATACTCTGTTGTTAATGTATGCACATACTTTAAAGATTGTTAATGAGCTGGGAGTCACAGGAAATCTTTGGAAGATACCTTTTTGTTTTGTTTGTTTTTTGCAGTGCTGGAGGATCCAGCTCAGGGCCTCATGTATTCTAGACACATGGTCTCCTACTGAGCTAAACCTCTTATCCTGAAAGATAGTGATATTTGTAGATATTAATATTTTACACTTAAAGTATTTTTCATAGTTTTGATAGCCTTGTAAATTTGGAGCTCTATACTAGAGATTGTAGTAAAATTATAGGGAATGTAACCTTTGACATCAAGGATTTTATAATTTAAAAAAATCTTACCCTAAATATAGCCATATAACTCAAAATTGGTAATAAATTATTTAATAAAATTCAAAATATATGCTTACCTTTTTATTTGCTTTCCTTTTATGGAAAAATTCACATATTCATTTAACAGACACTAATTAAGGCAGCTCAGAATGAGTCCTGAGTTTAATCCCCAACACTGAAAAAAAAAAATTGTTAAACACCTTGGATGTGCCTAGGACTATTTAAGGCACTAGGGATTGGCGGTAAATAAGATAGTTCTCACTCAAAATGACATTGCCGTTGGAAAGGAGCCAATCTGAGAACAGGTAAATGGTGTGGAGTGTTAATTGCCAGAATAAAGATATGAAGATAGTCCCAAAACTATACATGACTAATCTACTCCCAAAAGGTTAAACACTTTTGAAAAAACTCAGAATAGCAAAATTTAAGACAGTTAATATTTATATTAATGCTTGCATGCCCATTTTCTCTGTAAGAATTAACCACAAATCTTCTTGTACAATTTTTATGTATGTCTATTATATTTTATCTTGGATATTAATCTTATTACTTATTGTGGATCTATTTATCTTTTTAAATTCCAATTTTATAAAATACAATTTTAGATAATCTAATACTATTATATGTCATTTTTACAATTTAGTTATTAGTTTCAAAGCAAGATCCTTTTAATTCTTTGTATGCTACAGGTAACTTTGAAACAATGCATCATATAGTTCCTGTTTATTACCCACAGTTGGGTAAGCCAAAATTAGTCCTTTTCTCTGACATACAGAGACACCTTGTAAATGCATCTCCTGGAAGTTCTGAAGATGATAAAATTATTGAAGAGATGGGTAGGTTCTTTCAAATATTTGTATGATTTGTCTTTTTTAGGGGGATGGGACACCCTGTCAGCAACACAGGTGAAGAGAGGTCTTCCATCCATTTCCATCAGTTTTTTGTTTGCACTCCTTTTCAAACACCCTGGCAAACGCACAAAATTCATTGTTGGTCAGTCCAAAGGCATAAAGTTGCAGTTGGTTCAAGAAGAGTAGGGAGTTATAGACTAAATATACTCACTGAGGTAGGGCAGATGACTCAGGAAAGTCTCAGAAGAAAAGATGCTGAATGATTAGCAATCACAAAAGTGAGTGTGGGGAGGTTACAGCAGTAAGAGCATGTGGTTGCAAAAAAAAGAGGGGAACCAGAGAGGATTGTGTAGGTTACTTTCACCATGTCTCCAGGCCAAAGGTTCTTAACCTGTTGTTTATAAAGGAGACATTAGAAGTTTCATTAGATTTCAAAAGAGCTTATGATAAAAAAGAAAAAAATGGTTTTAGAATCACTAGTCTAAACCTTGGGTCTCTTATAATTTAGCTTCATATGAATCGCCTCTAAGGAGATTCATATGAAGTATGATCTCCTGATAAGGAGAAAATTTCTTTGGTTTAACAAAGATATTGCTGTTGTACTTACCTGGCTGGGGTGGTTTTCCCAGGGCGAGGCTCATCCACTGTGCTCCAGATGTGCTGACCCCTGTGATTTCAACAAATGTGGGAAACTCAACTGCATAATTTGTGGTAGTGGGAGACTGTGTTCACACTCTTCCCTGTAAATAAATAAATAAATAAATAAAAATAAAAAAGATAGCTTCCATATACCATACTGAAAATAACTTAATCTAAAACAGAAACCTCCCATATGTCAGTCAGTACAATATAAAAATTCAAATGAGAGGATCCTAAACTCAAATATCTTGCAACAAGCTATGCAGGGAGTCAACTGTGATTCAATCAGTATATAGTGTAATAAATACTATGTGCATTATAAACCAGATGCTAATAACACACTATAAAATTTCATTCAACTGTTTTTCATTTATAGTCTATATAGTGATTGCTCTGTTGATCTTTCCAATCGTATCATACTATTCACTAAATATAATGAAGGGCAATAGCATATTTTATTGAAAAAGTCAGCAGAGCCCGTGGACAAACTTTGGAATAGTTTTAGTTTTCCCAGAACTGTCAAGGTCAGGTGGGTCTGTCGGAGGGTCTAATGGAGAGACAGTGACTGAGCATCCCTATCTCAGCCCACCTAAAGAAGTCTTGTGAACAGCACTATTGCACTACCCTCCCTACTCCATTCAGAACAGCTCTGGATTGGCAGGATGCAGACTTAGTGCCTATGAGTCTGGAAAACACCTTCATTTGTGAAGAGAAGAAAGGTTATTCTGGGACTCCTAGTTTTGGTCTTCTTTCTCCAGTCACAATAAAATGGGAGCTATGTGAGAATCTGCTTTCCTGTATACATACAAACATACATGTCAATACCATTCAAACCATAGCCAGTTTGTCCACAGCACCCTGATAGTTTCTTGTTTGGTTTTTGTCGTTGCTATTTTGTTCGGTTTGGTTTGGGTTTGGATTTTTTGGGGGGTAAGCAGGGCAGAACTGGGGACTAAACTCAAGGCCTTGTGACTGCTAGGCAAGCACCCTACCACTTGAGCCATGCCTCCTGCCCTAGTTTCTTAAGATTTACACAATTGGTAGCAGTTTCACAATACTGTTCTTGAGATTTCTTTTCTTTGCCAAGTACTTTGGACAAGTATTGCTAGCATATCATATGGTGGAAAATAAAATTAAAACACAAAAGTCAGGCACCAGTGCCTCATGCCTGTAATCCTAGCTACTTTCTGGAGGATTGTGGTTTGAGGGCAGCCTGGGCAAATAGTTCACAAGACCCCATCTCCAAAATAACCAAAGAAGAATGGACTGGAGGTGTGGCTCAAATGGTAGAGCACCTGCTTTGCATTTGACTGGTATCTGGGTTCAATCCCCAGGTACAGGGGCGGGGGCGGGGGGGGGGGAGGAAAAGGAAAAAAAAAGCAAAGAAACAAAAATACCAACTCAAACACAAAGAATAGCTTTGTAGTTTCTAGAAAATTGATTAAAATAACCACTCCCTTTAACTACTTTGAGAGAATGCACTGGTGTCAACAGAAGCATCCGCTTCAGACTGTATATAACATTCAAGGTGAGAAGTCTACGCAAAGGTGGAAAAGACCTTAGACTGCAGATCCAAAGCTAAAAGCATGTGCTCCACGCTCCTAGACTGTTCCATATCCAGAGCACTGTGCCTGTATCCTAAGCAGAACACAGTGAAGCAACATCTGCCCAAAGACGGGAATGTTTTCCTCTTCTTTTATAAATGCATGCAGTCTGTGCTCATGTATATTTATACAAGCCTGCTTTCCCTACAGGGAGAAAAAGTCAGACTCATTGACGTTGTTTTTGACCCTCAAACTGAACTTGATACTATCAATGTACACTTTAACTGAAGATTAGGTCAAAACTATTTTTTATTTAAAGCCTGATTCTGAACAAATGCTTTCACTGTTCAATTAAAAATAATATATGATATTAAACAAACAAAAAAGGTATACATTATTGCTTCTGTGTTTGTCACAGTAAATACTTCTGACAGATGTTTCCTCTTTTCAAACATGCTAGGAGATGCCTGAGCCATAGTAATTTAAAAATAGACATTAAATACATTCTTATATTACATATAAGATCCACTGAGAATACTGTACAGCACTGTACAATGAAAAAAAGCAAACTGTTACCTGATTGCTTAACTATCTTTCAAGGTCAAGCAATGTTGATAGAGTCAGTCTATCTCTTTTGTTAATGTAAAAATAACTTTCTAGCTGGATCTGAATGCTATGAGTTTAGATACTTTAACGAATGTGAGCCTCTAGGAGTCAAAATTTACAGGAAATGTTCACTGTATGTTATTTAACTATTTCTGAAATACCTAGTATCTTTTGTTCCTTTGAATTAAAAAGTGAATTATAATAGTTAAAATAACATGCTTTCACCAGTAAACAGTGGTCATGTTTAAACAGTTATAACAGATCTATGTGCTTCAAAAAGAATTTTTAAAACTCAGATAATTTTTACTCACAAATTCTAGAATGTTCTGAAATAAATTCACTTGGAAAGCAAAAAAATGCCTTTATTTTTGTTTTGTTAAATCTTACCTCAGTGTGTTAAATTTTACATGCAAATAAACTTAAATGTGTACTGATCATGCATATATAATGTCAACATCTTGATTAGCGTTCTTAAAGAACTCTTTTGAAATTAGGATACAGCCCTAAGCGACATATCGTTTTTTAAAGTTAGAACATATAAAGCTAGTTTTTGTGATTTTTGGGGGGAGGGGTACTGAGGTTTGAACTCAGGGCCTCATGCTTGCTAGGCAAGCACTCTACCATTTGAGCCATATCCCCCGGCCCTTTTTGTGGTGAATATTTTTGAGATGTGGTCTCGCTTTATGCCCTGGCCAGTTTGGACTAGGATTCTCCTATTTGTGCTTCCCCATGTGGCTGGGATGACAAATACAGAAAATACAGGATACCATGTGCAGACACTGGTATGAGATGGGGAGTCTTAAGAACTTTTTGCTCAGGCTGGCCTTGAACCATGATCTTCCCCATCTCTGCCTCCCAAGTAGCTAGGATTACAGACAGGCTTCAGCCACCTCACCCAGCAACTTTTTATGATTTCTATTCTCAAATCTATCAACAGCTTACTCATGAAACAAGAGTCATTCCAAAAAACTGTATTAGCTATTTTCTATTTTAAAATGCCCATACTTTGAGAGCTAAGTCATTATCCACGTAAAAATTTTTTAAATATTAGAACCTTTTGATAAAAGAATGTTAAGAACAACATTTTACATATGGGAAAATGAGGTATGATGAAGTTCAGTAAGAGGAAGCCAGGTCGTTGACTTGAATAACCAAGCTATTACTCCACTAGGGAGTTTCAGGCATGATTAGGTACAGTAAGCAAGGGAAGCCAGTCAGGTTGACTAGGGTGAAATGGAAAGAACATGTCCAACTGCAGCCATCTGCCTCCAGAATAGTGTGAGCACGTGCACATAAACTTGAGAAATCAGACTAGCTGGGAAATAAGATATCTAGGTTGTAAAATCATTTGATTTAAATAAATATTGGTTTTTTTCTTAAAAGAACAGATTAAAATGGATACAAAAACTTAGTAATTATTGGCTATGATATGGAGCAACTAGAACTCTCATGCACTACTGAGAATGAAAAAATGAGCCACCACTTAGGACAATGGTTTATTAAGTTAAAATACATGTACCACATATAGCAGTCCCACTCAATTGAAATGAAAACCTATGCTCATGAAAACCTGTCCCTGGATGTTAATAATCACTGAAAACTGAAACAAAAGTGTCTCAGCTGGAGGAGGGATAAACAATCTGTAGTACAACAAAAAGGAATGAACTGATACACGCAGTAATATGGATGGGTCTCAAAAGCATTATGCTAAGTTAAAGAAGCCAGACTAAAAAGGCTACATATTGTAAGCTTCTATTTGTATGATATTCTGGCAAAGACAAGTACAAAGAGACAGAAAATAGATTAGCTGCCAGGAACTGAGGATGGGAGAAAGGGTTGACTACAAAGAACCAGCACAGGGAATTTGGAGGGTGATGGAAAATGTGTTTAGTGTGGTAGTGGTGACAATGTTGCATGTGTTTATCAAAACTTGCTGAACTATACACTCAAAAAGGTCAATTTAACCATGTGTATATTACACCTTAAAACAGTGAGAGAAATAGTTGAAAGGTGAAGAAAAGCACCAATTAATGTTTTGCTTTACATAAAACAATTTATATAAAATATGTACATATATAAAAGTTTATATATACATATATATGCATGCATTATACATTTTTATATAAAACATTTTTATTCACCAACACATGATGTTTTCATTATATTATGCATTATAAAGACAATCTTAACAAATCAACATTACAACTTGATATATTCAGGAAAAAAGATGGAAGAATAATTCTAAGACCAATACCACACTCAATTAAATAAAATCTACACCATTCTAAAGCCACACTTTTTGAAGCCACACTTCAAAGAAAGATACACTATGTAAACAGTAATTGAATTGTTAATAAGAAGTCAAATTATTTAAATGATGCACTTTATTAAGATAATAAGATACAAAATGTCTTGCAAATTAAGAGCACAAGAGTTACAGTCAGTCTGCTTTGTTTAAACCCTGCCTCACCCATTTACTACGTACCTTGGGCAAAACTGCCTAATTCCTTTGAGCTTTATTTTCTCACCTGGAAATTGTTTAATCCTCAGTGTTTGTAAAAACGAAGTAAGCAAACACCTTCTAAAGCAGTTAGTACATATAAAGTACTAAACAAGTGGCACCTGTTACTAATTATTTACAAAACAATGGAAATTTCAGGATTTCCATATTTGAATTTAACTGCAAATACTGATTTGTTTCAGGAATCAGGACTACTTAGAATCATCATGGCTTCAGAGAGGCTGCTGCTTAAAGTGGCAGAAGACAGGATAAAAGGGAGTGGCCTACAGTGGGTGGTCTTGTTAATACCAGTTTTCTTTCTCACACAGCCCACTACTGCCCAACCACTGCTGGCATTAAAGAGCCTGGGTCATCTCTCCACCCCACAATCACAGGAAACTCCAGCAGGCTAGGCTAGTAGGCTAGGATACTGCACATAGCATGCGAAGAGTGAAAAGTTTAAAGAACCCCAGGCATCTCGATCACCTCCCCCTAGTCACAGTCCACCTTCACACCAACATTCTCATTTCCACACATCTCCCAACTCAGATATTCTTCACATTTTTCCGAAACAGAAAAAAACTTTATTTCTGCTTCATAAAAGCCTGAGGAGATTCACAGTGTGGTGACTAATCATTCACTTTTTCTGTTGCTATTGTGTCCTGGATTCTACGTGTTTGCTACTTTTTTTTTATATTTTCATTTTAAAAATAATTAAACGTGTGGTTTATTTGTCCTTATAAATACAGGAGTCTCTCTTTGAGAGAATCTGAAAACTTGGTGACAAAAAATGATGTGCATGAACCTCACCTTCTCAAAAGCCCACAAGTAAAAGAAAATTTGTTTGTGGAAAAAGAGTAAATTCAGCCTCAAGCGATCTCATTTCTTAACTTCATAGATCTAGGTAACAAACACTTTCGAGGGTTTGTAATTTAATGGTATCTTCATATATAAGAGTTCTTTGTAAGTTCTTGTTTGATTTGCTTCTTTATAGAATCTGAGACATTGGTTTCCACGTGTAAATTCAAGGACCTACTTGCTTTACTACTTTTCACATACCATTTGCTGGGAAAAATAAAAACATACTCTTATTCAAGTCCTTTTTGAATCAAGGGAATTTGGATGTATTTCTCTGTAAAGTACAAGTCTAATTACAGTTATTGGAAGAGAACTGAGATTGTTCCGATTCACCAATACACTTAATACATCGTGTGGGCGGGTCCATTCAAGTATAGCAAGTGTCATCATTGCTATCTATTGCTTGGTAATTCCAATTTGGAAAGTTACAAAGCTATTGGAACGTACGTAAGAACCGTTTCTTCAATGACATTTTAAATTTGGTAGTTCCGTTTTGACCCCAAAGAGAGAGAATGTGCTGATTACACTGCTACACAGTGTGGCGCGGCCACCGCGACTTTGCGCTGCGAAAGTGACCGGTCCCGGACAGGCTCAGTTGCGTGGGGCCGGGGGCGTCGGGGCCGCGCACCGGGCTCCTCCCGCAAACCACGCTCCCTGTGGGGCCGCAGGTGCAAATCCAGCACAGCAATGCATGCCTGAACAGTGAAAAGGGTGGCCCTGCGGGGGCAACGCGAGCCGGTGGCCAGCGTCCGCGTTCCCGGGAGTTTGCTCTGCTCGGGGACTTCAAGTGCGACGAAGGAGACGTTGGAGGTACGTGCAACCTGTCGGAATACTACGGAGGAGGAACTACAACCGTGAGTAACTTGGGACCTACAGAAACATTTACCTCGTGGTAGAATAAAAGGCCAGCGTTCCGACGAGGCGTCCTCGGCGTTTCCTCCTAGTTAAAATCCAGCTCGAGCACCGCAGCGTTCCCGCTCGGCTGATTCAGGAGGGCCCAGGTCGCGGGACGGCGGCCAGGGGAGGGACTCCAAGGCCTAGACAGAGGCCTGGCGCGCAGACCCACCGGGACCCGGCCCCAGCCCATGGCCGCTCTCGGCTCGGCCCGTCGCCCTCCGCGTCGCGCCTCGGGAGAAACAAGGGCAGCTAGGGGGCGTGGCCGGGGAGGGGGGTCCCCGCGGCCACGCCCCCGCCCCCACCACTCCCGCCAGGCGGCTTGATTAATGACTTTGGCTCCGCGGCGGGGCGACTCCACGCCGAGGGGCCCGGGTGCTGACCTCCGCCCGACGTGCCATCGCTGTCCGAGGCACGCTCGCTGAGCCTCAGGGGCTCCAGCATAAAAGGCTCATCCTGCTGAGGCCGGACTGACCCGCGCAGGCCCCGGCCACGCACGCTCGGCTCGACGCCCCTTGCTGTCTTGCACGGCCGCTCCAGGAAAGGTGAGGGTCCGGGTCCCACACAGAGCGGTAGCAGGTACCTGACTCCTACGGCTGAGGCCAGGGTTCCCTACCCACGCCGCAGGCAGGAACCCTCCAGGGCGCGAACGACCTGAGGGCGCCTGGCGTGGCACCTCGGGCGGTTGCGAGGCCAGGGCTTCCCACCTGGTGAGCGGGATTGACCCGCAGCTCTTTGCAAAATGAAGCATGAACAAGTGACCAGCCGCGGCTGCGCTTCCGACAGCTCCTTTCCCTATTGGAGTCGTAGTGGTCCTTGCGCTCCATTTGTCCCTGCAGAGTAAAGCCGGGACCGGCTCCCCATCCTTTAAAAGGCCCAGGAGGTCCTCCCCTTCCGCGTCCTCAGTCATTTCGGGGTCGGCTCGGAGAACGCTCCGAGCCACGTCGGGCGGCGGGACCTTCGCGGGGCGAGCGCGAGCTCTGCGCCCCGGCCTCACCGTGCTTTCTGTCCTTTACAGCGCGCGGCTGGAAGCCGCCATGGAGCGCGGCTGCCGGGCCAACAGCCCCCCGAGTGCCAGTGGCGACCCCGCGCCCTCGGCCGCCGCCGCCCGCGACTCGAGCCCCGGGCGCACCGGGCCCGCGGTCGGAGCGCGTTCAGGGGGCGGGCGGCCGGCGGCGGCGAATGCTGCGCGGGAGCGCAGCCGCGTGCAGACCTTGCGGCACGCCTTCCTGGAGCTGCAGCGTACGCTGCCGTCTGTGCCACCCGACACCAAGCTGTCCAAGCTGGACGTGCTGCTGCTCGCCACCACCTACATCGCCCACCTGACCCGTAGCCTGCAGGATGAGGCCGAGGCGCAAGCAGATCCTGGTCTGGGCACCTTGCGCGGCGATGGCTACCTGCACCCGGTCAAGGTAGGCAGGCCAGGCGCACTGCGGGGCTGGATGGGAAGCAGAGCAGGGCACCTTGAACCGACCTCCTGCGTACATGCCACCTGTGAGCAAGGCGGCGAACAGATGCAGAACGCGATCCGGGCCCGTGGGCACTGGTGTCAAGAAACTGCTGCTTAACAGTTCGCAAATAGTGGGCAGGGCCTTTGAACCTGGGGTGGCTTGGATAGGAGTCTCTCATGCCCCTTGCAGGGTGGCATTCTAAGCATTTTCGGCCTTTCAAGGTGAGAAATGGAAGACTTGGCTGTACGTCCTAATATTAATAATATCTAAGTTACATTTATGACCCGCTGAGAGTTTTTAAGTGTTTTAAACTTACATATCTGTTGTATTTTTTATGGGACAGTTTCACGACTTAAATGGAGTCGTGGAATTATCTGCCCCTAAGCAATCCTAGAAAAACACTGTTAAGAAATGTTTGGGTAAAATTAGTAAAAACCACTGAGACCATTCCACATCCCCATGGAATATAATTTCATTTTGTTTAAATAAAGGTTAAATTTAATGAACTAAAAAAATACAGTTATCATGGTCTAGACAGAACGTTAGGAAAGACTATAACGGTTTATGTAATTGTCAGATTGGCAAGTTTGCTGAGTGAGATTGGTCAAATACTGTATTCAAATTTTGTAGTGTACCGAATTAGTCAAGAAAACCCATTTCACATAATTTCTTTACATATCGGTAAAATGGTCACAGTTTCACCTAATGTGCTGTGTATGTGTATGATTTATTACCTGTATAAACACATCACCTATACTTTACATATATTGTTATATATGACTTTGATTTATTACTTTTCCTCCTAGATTTATTTTGAAACCTTGCATTTGATCTTTCTATTCAAAATGCATAATATCTGTATTTGCTAAACCTAAATTTTCGAAGTTTTGGTCACACCATTCTAAGTATTTTAACACAAACACACAAATACAAAATTAGGACTTAGATTCAAGTTTCTCAGTGTTCAATAAATTATTGAATAATTACTGCTGAGATGTGGTAAAGCACATCCTCTAATATTAACTGTACTTAAAATTTGGGGGTGAGTTTTAACAGAATTTACTTTGCAAATACAATCAATGTGATGAAAGACTTAAACCATTTCAAGTATTAATTATAAAAATGAAATAGTGTTATTTATAATTATGATAGAACCATCCTCTTCATGAGTTTTATAGCAATCTCAGCTGAGAAGTCACTCTAATTAAGGGGTTTTGTCTTACAGTGTGCATTAGATTTGTTCAAATCTCTACCACTAATGTTGATTTCTTTTGACTTGACATTTGCCACATATTCTAAGAAAGTTTATTTTAACTTTAAGTAGATTTTAGTAAATCTGTTAAATGTCTCCTTCATGGGATATAAAATTCAGAATGAGATCACAAGTTTTTCACCTTAGTTTCATGCAATGATTTTTTTTTATGTTAGAAGAATCAATGTTAGAATGTTAACAAATAAGCATAGACAGCTTTTTTTGTACTTGGTTCATATACCAAATGTTTTATACATGTAACTATTATAGAAAAATCTTACCTGTCATTTGAGCCAATTATCTTTGAATGTAAAAAACAACTCTAGAGATGATAGAAGGCCAAAGATTATCTCTTAAAAATGAAATCGATGTTTAGCTAGTGACTGATTGATTTGTTTTAAAATCAAACATTTGAGTTCTTCCTATATAGAAAGCACTGTTTTAGGACAGTGAATACAATGAAAAGACTTGGTCCCTCCCCTTAATAATGCATTTAGAGACAAAACCAAAAACACAAGTAATAGTATAGGACTGTAAGGGAAAATATTGTGCTGTGAAAGCACTATTGCTATGTGCTGTGGAGGTTCAGAGGGAAGAGATTTTACATACATAATTGAAACTGCCTGTTAACACATTTTACAGACACTAAACATTTACATACTAAATATCTTTAATGCAAAAAGTGTAAAATTATTCTGATCATTTCTGTTTTTCTGATGAACTGAAAGTTCATTATTGTAGCCCTTAATAAGTGTGTTAAAACGGCCTTATTTTTCTACCTTACAACAATACTTTTACTAAGTCCTGCTCTGATGACCAAAGATACTTTATTAGTGTATATTAACTGTACTTTGTGATGTTGCCACACATGCATGTAATGTACTTTGATCAAGTTTACCTCCTCTTTTACTCTCTTATCCTCTTCTCCCCCACCTTTTTTTTTTTTAACAATTTCCTGTATTTGTTTATTTGCAGTATTGGGACTTGAACTCAAGGCCTTCACCTTGAGCCACAACACCAGACCTATTTTTGTGAAGATTTTTTTTCTAGCTAGGGTCTCACAAACTGTTTGCCTGGGCTGACTTTGAACAGAGATGCTGACAGAGATCAATCCTCCTGATCTCTGCCTGCTGAGTAGTTAGGATTATAGGCGTGAGCCACCGGCTCCTGGCTTTTTTCTACTACATACATATTTTCATACGTTATGTTATTTAAAGCACTTCAGTCATATTCACACATACCCCAGTATTTCATTTCCATGATTTTTAATCATCAGTTCTTATTACCAATATTATGAACATGTTGGAAGTGTTACAGGAATACATTAAGATTATCTCACAAGAGAGACGGGGGGTGTAGTTCAGTGGTAGCAAGACCCTGGGTTCCATTCCTGGCACCAAAAAGTAAAGTGTCTCATATTAAACTGGAAGGCTTAATCACCTGGGCTCCTGGGGCATAGCCTAAACCCATTTTTATCCCCTTGGAACACAAGCTGGTAGAGTCAGCATCAGTGCTCCATAAGGGGCAGTTATGCTCCAAGAGACCAGGAATGTATTTCAGACTTTAACATTAGGAGAAAAGCACAGATGACTTTATTAATTGCTGCACCACTTAAAAATCATTTTCCATAATACAAATAAATAACAATTAAAAAAATATAAACACAGGATTTGTTACTTTGAGGTCATTTAATTAGACTAAGTGAATTTTTAAGGTCTTCCGTTTCAAGTCCAGTTCTGATTAATTATGAGCTTGCTAGATTTTTCTAAGTTTAAAGAAAATGACATGGTTTTTAAATATATCTTAGTCAGGAACGTAGAGTTCAGAATTATATTAATTCACACAGTGCTAAAAAAAAAACCATGAAAAGTGGAGTGTAGATAAGTCAACTGGATTTTGGTTTTGTTTTGGCATCGCAGTTACATGTCATCTACCCAGTATTTTACTTAAATTATAATTTCTGACTCTTAAAAACTACTTACGTGTCTACATTAAATTAAATTGAATAATCCAGGAGTGGTGGTGCACGTCTGTAATCCCAGCTACTTGGAAGGCTGAGGCAGGAGGATACCGAGTTCAAAGCTACCCCAGGCAGTTATCCCAGAAAGAAAATAGAAAACAAAAGGACTGGAGATGCAGCTCAAGTGGCAGAGTACACATGCCACAAGTCCCTGAGTTCAATCCTCAGTACTAAAAAAAAAAAAAAAACCCTAAAAAACTGAATAAGATCATTAAAAGCCTTTGAAGATCAGGGATGAAAGCTCTTTCAGGGAGTCTCATCAGTAAGCCCAGGGAGTAAGGCAGAAGCCACACACACTTTCGGCTTGCTTTACTAACGTGCAAGGAAGTAAGGAACAGGTGCCTTCGTTTGTCTCTGCATTCAGCTGAATGATTCAGAGCATTTCTCAACACACGAGGCTGCAGCATCACATATGAGAACCTCCAAGGGAGCATTCGGTAATGTTCCAATTTTGTTTTTAGATGGATTTAGTTCACATAATTTTCAAATTACATTTGAGATTTGCGCATGAAACTTTTATGCTTGTGAAAATGGGGTGGTGATATAAAATACCGAGAAGCACTGGTTTATAATATTGCCAAAAATCTTGAAATTGGTGATTTCTGCCCTCCACTATTTATTACATGTGTTAGTCTGCTTAGGCCACCATAACAAAATACCACAAACCCAATGTTTTAGACAACAGAAATTTACATTCTTATAGTCTGGAGGCTGGCAAGTCCAAGATCAAGCCAGTAGGGTTTAGTTCCTGGTGAGGGCTGTTTTGGTGGCTTGAAATGGCCCACTTTTCTCTGTGTTGTCACTTTGTCTTTCCTTGCTGGTGCATGCACACCAAGGAAGGAGGGTAAGGGAAGAAGCAGAGATTTATCCATCTTTCTCTTCAAAGGCCACCTTTCTGTTATGACCTATTCTACTTCTAATTACCTCCCAATTAATCACGTTGGGGGTTAGGGCTTCAAGTATGTATTTTGAGGTAAACACAAACATTCAGTCCCTAACACTGCAGCACTAGGCTCTATCATGCAGGACTTAAATCTACCTAACATTGCCAGTCCCTGCCATTCAGGTAAGCCTCATGCCAGTTTCTGAAACACTTCAGTTTCACAGCCTGTAGCAAGAATTCCAAGGCCAGAACCATTAACAGTGATGCACCCAGAAGATTAAAAAAATGCATAGATGGTGGGGGGGTGGCTCATGCAGGAAGACACCTGCCTGGCAAGCCCAAAGCCCCAGGTTCAAACCCCAGTACCTCAAGAAGAGGTGTGTGATTCTGTTCATTTCTGAAATGAATTTGCAAAAATAAGTAGCATAGTGGTAATATTTATAGGAAGACTAAATACAAGTAGACTATTTTGAATTCTAGGTAACACAAATTTTATATTTATCTGTTTAAAATACGATTTCACAGCTAGAATCTTAAATGATCTCAGCTACCTGGGAACAAAGTTACCTATCACATCTGGAGACACTGAGATAGGATTTTTGTTGGATGCTACAGAACAGACTTTCTACTTTTCCACTTTTATTTTAAAATTTTTAATTGATACATAAGAGTTGTATATATTTATGGGATCCAATGTGATGTTTCAGTGCATGTGTATATTATATAGTGTTCAAATTAGGGTAAGCATATCTCTTCAAACATTTCTCATTTCTGTGTGGTGGAACTATTCAAGATATTTTCTTCAGGATTTTTGACATATAAAGTATTATCATCATTATAAGTAATCACTCCACTCTTGTGCAGTAAAACACAAGAAACTCATCCTTGTTCAGTGGCCATGCTAATCATTCTCTGTATCATTCCAGTTTTATTATACGTATAATTGAGCACTTACTTTTCAGAACTACATTTTACATTTAATTTCAAGTTTTGTTTGAAATTAAGTGAGTAGATTTTTCTACACTCATCTATATTCATTCCTATGACTTTTTGCAATTCTTGTCCACATATACATGTTATTTTTCAGTTATTAAAATCTCTTGATTTTTATGGCTTGCATTAATGAACATTTTTCATGTTGTCCCTTAGACTTCATAATTATAATTGTTACTAACTGCATATTTAAATATATTTAATATATTTAAAGCCAGGTGTGGTAGCTCACTTCTGTAACCCTCTCAGGAGACAGAGATCAGAATTTTGTTTCAAAGCCAGCTAAAGCAAAAAAGTTCCCAAGACCCTATCTCAACCAATTAAAAAAAAAAAAAGAAAGAAAGAAAAGCTGAGCATGGTGGCATGCACCTTTTATCCCAGCTACAAGGGAAGCACAGGCGGATCACAGTCCAGGCCAGCCCAGCTAGAGCATAAAGGGCTGGGCACTCAAGTGGTAGAGCACCTGCCTAACAAGCGCAAAGCCCTGAGTTCAAAGCCCAGTCCCACCACCACCAAGATTAATAACAATGATTATGATAATATTGCATTTGCATTGGAGTATTCAGAATTTTTAATATTACAGACATGTTATATATGTTTTAGATAATAACTCTGGTATTCTTTTTAAATTTTTTTTTTCAGAAATGGCCTATGCGATCAAGATTATACATCGGTGCTACTGGTCAGTTTCTGAAGCATTCCGTCTCTGGAGAAGAAGCAAGTCATAGCAACACTCCAGCAGATTCACAGCCTTAGGGCCTCTCCTGGTGGGGTCTGGTAGAAGTGGTGGCTGTTCTTTTTAAATACAGTGAAATAGTTCTGTATTTAGTACATCAGTCATAAAAGGCATAATTTCTGAAGAATTACATTGGAGCCCATAGTTTAAATGTCAAAATTTATCTGTCTAAATAAACATAAAATTAAATAATCAGTCTTACATGAACCACACAGCTTATCTTGCTGTGTGGTGCAAGAGAAGCTATTAGAAAAAATAAAGACACACAAAAGCAAACAGTTGTGTATATATATCCAGTGAATGAATACCTTTTCTAAAGAGAATTTTTTTTCTTTTATTTCTGGCACTATGGTTTGAACTCAAGGCCTTGTGCTTGCTAGGCAGGCACCCTACCACTTGAGCCACTCCATCAGCCCTGAATACATTTTCTGTAGTGTATGTATTACAAACTTAAAAGCTGACACCATCATTCTAGTTTTAAAAAATCTGCGTTTGTAATATACTAGTATCCCATTTTTGTGAAAACCAGTGTGTGCTTTTTATTGGCCAAAGAAGCCATTTCAGTTGGAAGATGTGAGATCATTTATTCAGTTTGGCTATATATTATGTATAAAAATTGTTGCAGTAACTTCTATTACTAGTTATTTTTCCCTCTTAGAAAGTTGTTTGGAGAATTAAAAATCTGGGCTGGGGCACCAGTCAAGTGGTAGAGCTCCTGCCTAGCAAGCATGACTAAGTTCAATTCCCAGTGCACAAAAAGGGAAAAAAACTTTTCTCTAAAGAACAGGGCATGGCCACTTTTCAAGAGTTTTAGTCAGTGTTAAGGTGTGACATCCACGTTCCCAAATTGTGGAAGGCTCTGAATACATGTAGCCAGTATGAACACATACCAAGTTGTTACTGGGCAGCAGGGTTCATTGCTCTCCCCACTGGCCACACCTTATCCACCCTGTCCTCTTCTTTGGTCCTGAGCTAGGTGAGCAGGCTCAGCTGTAGCAGCCCTAGTTTGGTGAGGGCCTTGAGTGAATCCCCACCATCTCCCTCAGCCATTGGTGTCCAGCTTTCTTCCCTTGTCAATTGGTCACAATCCACCTACTTGGCCATTGTGAAATGAGGGAAATCCTGTCCAGTTTTGGAATTCTGGCACTGATCTATACCTTGAAAGAGTCTTAAGGACACAGAATGACTGTCCTGAGATAAATTTAGGCTGCAGCAGACCTCCAGTATGAAATTCCACCAGCAGGCCTCTCCCACTGCAATGCACACCATTAAATGCCCAGGAAGTAGCTGGTATGATAGATTAAACCAGTTGTTTCAGTTTTTAACAGGAGCCTGCTGAAAGTCATCCTATTAAATAGAGCTTTGCCTTTGATGATACTGTGTTTTATTTCTTATCCAGTTATAAATGTTTTAGTGCCAACGAAGTATTATTTATATAATAGATTATTGTAATATTTTATGGTTAAATATGCTGACAGCTTTTAGTAAAGTGGCAACTGTCAGAGGAGAAGTTGTGTGTTATCAGTCAGTATAGATGTTTGTCAGGGAATACACACTAAGCCCCCCAAAAAAACGGAGTACAATAGAGATAAAAATTCAGTATCATCTCTTTGCTAATTTAGATTCCTTTTTATCACTTCTTGCTATTCTTCTCACTCAGTCTTTACTATTCCCCTTTCCAACTGTGAAGTTCATTGATTTCTCAATAAACCTAGCTTTAAAGTTGCTGAATTTGATCCAAGATCAGCAAATAGAATGGATTTGGTTGAATTATTACAGCAGTTGAAACACCATTTTATTTTCACCTCAGTTTTCTTCCAGCTTTTGGCAGTGAAATGTAGTGAAGGATAATTTGGAGGCAAGAACTTTTTTTTTTTTTCTGGTGGTACTGGGGCTTGAACTTGGACCTTTTGCTTGCTAGGCAGGAACTCTAACCACTTGAGCAGTGTCTCAGTCCCTGAGGCAAGATCTATCCTTGAGTTCATTCAGGAGAACCTGATCATGTTTTGACTTCTATCCAATAATTTGTAAGTTTTATTATTTTAATGTGAATATCCTTCTTAAAGTATGATCAGTAATAAAATATTTCTACCTATTAATATGTAACACAAAAATTGTGATTTCAATATTTGTAAATACATTTACCTGCTCATCTGATGTTGGATTCAGCAGTTAAGTCATTGGCATAGGTGGCACAGGAGGTGCTCATACAGTTTTTATCTTAAGGAATGAAATAAAAACTTGTTTAAAGTTATCTCATCAGTTTGGTAGTAAAAATTTCAGCAATTTTTTTTTTTGCTTGCAATACTAATCTATTACTGTGGCTACAATTTTTACAGCCATTTAATTGGGAAAAAAACTCTGACTTCTGTTGAAGTATTGGACTTTCCTAAATCATCCTGTTAAATATTTAGTAGAACTTTGCCTTTGATGGAATAACTTTTTATTTCTGCTTGTGCAGTTACAAATGTTTTAATTCCAAAGAAGTGTATTTATGTCATAGACCTCCATATTATCTTATTAAATTGCTAAATGTGCTAACAGCTTTTAGCAGGATGGAAAATCTGAGAAGTTGGATATTTTCACCCAAAGATTCAAAGTAGTATGCTTTTTGATTAATGATGCATGAGCAGGATATGGCCTATTATTAAAAAATAAAAGAAAGTGCTAATTTGAAAATTAGCCTGTTAAATTTGCATCTGTCGCTTTGAATATTTAACAAACATGGTACATTTGAAAATCTTCCTAGAGGATAGACACCTACTTCCGAACTATATTCGGATGGGGAGGGTATGTTTGCATCGCAGTATTAGCTAATTGCATGGGACAATGTAACCCTCAGTTACGTTTTTTTCAGTCACTCAGCTTTCCCAATAGAATTTTCTATTTAAAATTCCTGTAAAATGATAACTTGGAGGATTAGGCAAATGTCTTTTTAGAGACATAACCAGTTCTAACTTCTAACAGACTTTAAAGTATTTTTTTCTGATTATATTATATGTCAACTATACATCAGTGAAACTATACATCAATGAAACTTGTTTTTTAAAATAAAGTGAACAAAAAAGCATGAAGTGGAAAGTAAAACAGTTGTGAATGGAAGTGTTTGAGAAAAAGGGGGCTTGTCTTTCCATATTACTTAGTAGTGAAGAATGATTTTGCATTTTTTATAAGGTGCTTTTTTTAACCAAAATATCCCAGTCTTACAGTTACAAATAACTAAACAGTGGCTTTCTTATCTATTCATGGAGACTTTATTTAAACTTAAAAGAAGCTGTGCAAAAAGAAAATGTTGATCGACACTACTGAAATGCACAGTAATTATTTTGGTTGAAATTACTTCTTAGTTTAAATTATTGAGTAATTTCTCTTTTTTCTCAGAGGGCTTCATTTTAAATTCATCAAAACATTTATTTTCAATTAAATAGAAAGTATTCAGGCACTAGTAAGTTCTTCTTTTAGAGTAGGGGGGAAGGTAATTCTGTATGTATTTTCTGGCACATTTCTTAAACTTTTTTCTTTAGGCCTCAGTGCCTCTCTGAGGAAATAATGCAATACAGACAAAACATCTCTGCAGCTGGGCACCGGTGGCTCACACCTGTAATCCTAGCTACTCAGGAGGCAGAGATCAGGAGGATAGAGGTTCGAAGCCCACCCAGGCAAATAGTTCACAAGAATCTATCTCAAAAAACTCAACACATAAAAAGGGCTGGTGAAGTGGCTCAAGGTGTAGACTCAAAAAACAAAAACAAAAACAAAAAAATCTCTGCAGTAGGCACAGGCACACAGGATCACAGAGAGATCAGTGCGTAAATTATATTTGTGATCGTGATGGGACAAGTTGCTTACTGACTATGTAAAATTGTATTGTCCTTAGCTGGGAGGGAAAAGAAATTATAAATCAAACAGATTGCTTCTGATCCAAATTTATATATTAGATTTCCTTCCTTTTTTTTTTTTTTTTTTGTGGTACTGGAGTTTGAACTCAAGGCCAACACCTTGAGTCACTCCACCAGACTCTTCTACCACTGACAGATTCTCCTTTAATCTGGTAAGAAATACATGTTTTTTTTGTTTTGTTTCTTAAAATCATTGCTGGAAAATTTCCATCAGTTTCCCAGATGATTTACAATTAGTAATTCACTATTGCTGTCTTTCTCCAAGGTGCACACTTTTGATTTTTTTTAGTTACTTTTGTTCTAATAACTTAAAAAGTATCCAAAAACCAAGATTCCAGATTTTAAAAGGAGAACTCAAGGGAAGTATTGTAAAATTGTATATCTCAAAGAAATTACTATGTACTTTTGTTAGATAATGGTAGTTAGTGGTCTTATATGAGACTGTTGTACTGAAAAATAAATGCCTCTGAAATCCTATAGAATTGCTTCCTGGAGACTATGAACACCACACAGATGGAACTGCAGCACAGTTGAGAATGAGGGACATTAATATTCTTGCCTAACTACTTAAGCCCAGGAGAGTTTCCCTTCCTATGTTTACACAAGTCTTAGTTTCAACTCATAAGAGAAACCAATTGAGTGAAATATACATCAGTCACTCAAATGCCTTCATTATACACTATACTGTAGCATTTAGCTGTCAGAAGCTTTTAAATTATAAACCAGAGAATAATCTTAACTATTAGGCTTAAAGATTATGTCAATAGTCATTTCCTGTGCACATAGATGTTACTGAAGAAACACATGCATTCCAGCCCTCTCAGGACCAAGAAGTATGTCCTGGGGATGAACTTTTACCACTCTTCATTTTTATAGCCATTGAAAACGTGCAGCCATTCCAAACAATGAGAATTCTAAATAAAAATTGATGTTAAATATTTTTATTTTCACCAGGTGCTGGTGGCTTATGCCTGTAATCCTAACTACTCAGGAGGCAGAGATCAGGAGGATCGCTGTTCGAAGTCAACCTAGGCAAATAGTTTGTGAGACCCTATCTCAAAAAATAACACAAAAAAGGGCTTAGTGGAGTGGCTCAAGTGGTGGCATGCCTGCCTAGCAAG